AAGCACCTTTTGCATTTTTACTGTCAGGAACCCTCAGGAATGGCATTGCCAATTAATCCAGCTTCTGTCTTAGTTCATGAAGGTGTTAAGAGGGTCGCTTGAAGGCTTCAGAAGCGCTCAATCCGGGGACTTTGGTTTGAGATTTGCGGGTGTACTGAATCCCAAAACCCCTAAACCCTCAACCCCAAACCCCTAAACCGTGAACCCCCTGAATTGTTGATCCTAAAACGGAGCATTGGTATCTTTAGTAAAGTTGTAAGGGCCTTCATAATTCGCGTATGCTTGTAGTATAACCGTGTATGGCTCAGGGATTGGTCGAATTTAGGTGTTTGAGCTTTCGGGTTTGGGGTTAGCAAAAGTTAATGGTGTGGGGTTTAGGGGTTTCCCAAAAGAGGGGACCCTGATGTAGTATGAGGATCCTTATAAGGGCCCCCGAATACGGAAACTCCCATTAAAGGTCGTTGAGGATTCATGAACCCTACACCCTAAACGCTGCACCTCAGCCCTAAACCCGATGCCCTATAAGTCCTAAGTCCTAAACCCTAAGCCCTAAACTATATATATATATATATATATATTATTATTAATAATAATAATATTAATAATAATAATAATAACAATAAATGAGCCCTAAACCCTAAACCCTAAGGCCCTAATTGGGATTGGAGCTTCGGGGTTCAAAGGAAACCACCGGCCGCTCAAGAGGCTTCGAGGTAAGGGATCACCAAGGAGAAAACTGCCCTTAACCCCAAACAAAACCAGGACCCCCCAAGAGGGCCCTTTAATGGAGCTCTTATGGTCCTTAGTATTAAAGGGCATATTAGAGGGTAGTTGGGGGCGCCGAGGAAAACCTTAAAGCTTGAAACTAGAAAAACTGACACCCTATGGGAGAGCTAGAAACCCTTGCAGGGACATTTTCAGGTTACGGCACCCGGGCCAGAGACGAGAACTTTACCCCAAACGGTCCTAAGTACTGATATGGGGGATACTTCCCCAAATCATAATGGTAATTCCTAATATGGAAACCCTACATTCTACTATAAAGGTACTTTGGACCCTTTGGGTACGGAATCACGTCTCGGGGTCATCGGTCCAAGGCTACGGGCATTAAGTTCGAGGGCTTTTCACTGCTTGAGGGCTCAGACTTGCGGTTTTAGCGAATTGCGAGTTGGGAGGGCTTAGTATATGGACGAGGCTGCGGGTTCATCCTCTTGACAGGAACAGCACAAACACGGAACAGCCTGAACACCTAGGCCACAATACAAAGCCGGACTAGGAAAGCCACAGGAGTATGAAAAAGACATGTCCGTACCGATCCGGCAGAGACGTCGAAACTTACCTAACCCTAAACCCTAAACCCTAAACCCTAAAACCCTAACCCCTAAACCCCTAAAGCCCCGGCTGGAGACCCATACTTATCCAGACTCCCGCAACCCTGACGCCCCCTTACCTCTTGTAGCGTAAGTTCTATAACCAGAAAAGGAGGCACTGAGGCTCCAGCTTGCAACCATGTCGTGCCGGGCATCACCTGCAATGCCTCAGAGGACTTCGGAAAAGGGGAGTTGGGACCTTGGGATGATCATGAACCAAAGCCCTGAACCCTTAAGGTAAAAGCCAGAAAGTTGGAATATGATTATCCTAACCCTTCTATGGTAAATTATAGGGTATCCTACCATGAAACCATATTCCAACTTTCTGGAGTTCCCTGTACGTGTTTGTTACTGGGGCCTTAATATTTTCGACATGTTCACGATTTAGAGTTCAAGGGTTAGCCCTAACCCTAATCCCTAAACCGTTAAGTGTTCAGGGATTCAGGGGTCGGTTTGGACTCCAACCAGAGCAGGACTTCATTTGTTGGTTTGCTGACCATCCTCAAAATCTGCCCTACAAATTCCATAAATGTACATCCCAGGAATCGGTACCTACAGCCCAGTGGCACTGCTAAACGCCACGCTGGCCGGTGGTAAGCCGTGAAGCCCTAAGACCATGGTTTGAAGAGTTACGGTAGTAACCGCAAGCCCTCACTTCAATCCGTAAACCCGAATACATGCAACCCTAAGTGTGCAGCTGTTTCCCCACGCGGTAGCTAACCCTAAGCCCATGGGTAGTTGGGGGCTTGCCTACAATACCCGCAGCTGCTTTTTCTTTCAGTATGTGGTTGGTAGATCGCGCTCGGTAAGCCCTAAACGCGAAGCCCTAACCCTTGGGGGTATTCGCGGGGGGGGGGGGGCGAGGAACCCGTTTGGACACCGGGAACAAGCCGAAGAAGCTACATCGGAGGTACGTAGATGGCCTAAAGCTGTATGAACCCTCTAAACCTACCATTTCAGTTCCTGGTTTATGATGTCCTTATATGAACCCTGCCAAAGGCTCGACTATTTGGCGGCGGGGAGGGGGGGGGGGGGTTGGGTTGAGCTTTCGGGGGTCTTGAAAATTAGGGATAGTGTCCTTAAGAATGCATCTACTATCGGATAGCAGGTGAACTCTTAAGGCATCAGAAAGCGCCTCGGGATGATTCTCCGAAGCCCGCATCATCGACCTGCCAGTGAAGGCGGGCAGCTATGAATCCAAAGGCAAAACAAAACCCTAAGCCTTGCTGTCTGGTGCTTAGTAAGGGATGGGGGAATGGATCAAATGGTAGTCCCTATCTAATCCCCTATAGCCTATGATAGTCCCCAATAATCCATTCCCCCAGTCCCCCACTAAGCATCACGGAACTTAAGCCCCACGCCCTGCTCCGAATCCCGGAGCATACCGACCTTCCAAAATCCCTTGATTAAGGAATATACCTTAAATCATATTAGGGATCCTACTATGATTTAAGGTATATTCCTTAATCAAGGGATTTTGGAAGATCTGGGAATCTATGACCGCGGATGGCCCTGACGGGAGTTGTCCTGAACTCACTACTCACTATACAATTCGTTGACTCCGCACTTTCAACAAAACCCATAATATGAACCCTGCAAACCAACACCCAAATAAAGAGGACCCAACAATTAGAGTAGGGTTTGGGTTTCGGCAGAGGGTTTAGGGCTTCAGCATTAGTTTAAGAGTTAGGGGTTTGCTCTTGCATATATACAACAAGGAACCCTACAAAATAACAGGAATATCTATTCAGGCGTCTATACTAAACATCGAACCACCCCAGCATGCCTTTGCGCCCAGGGGTCTGCAGGATCGAAGGTTTCATCCTTGGCGAAGGGCCGACCGGAATTTCTTACCACCCCAATAAGCCAGAGAAATAGAGGGTTAAACTCTCTGATTCCTACTAAACTACTAAACTACAAGAACCCCAAAAGTCTCAAGGTTGGGTATTGGAGATCTAAGATTCTCAAGCACCAAGATGCGAGTCACAAGCCGACCATCCCCAAAGCTTCTTGCAGAGACGACGTTTTAGGCACTATAGGGTCTTGGGGTTTAAGGTTTGGGGTAGGGCTTGCATGGGCTTTTAGGGTGCGCGGTAGGCTTCCTCAGCGCTATGCATGGGTAGCACAGACTACTTCAAGTAGCCCAAAACAGCACTGCTCTGGTGCAGGGTTTACGGCTGAAGCCCACCAAAGTCAGTAGAATCTTGGGGCCGGGCCCTCATCCACACCTGCTCCTGCAACAGGATGTGCTTAGTCCCCAAACTCAGAAAAACAACTCCAGTTTTTGTGGATGGGTCTATTTTATGGGGTTCAGGGATATACTATGGGGTCTGTGTTAGGGTTTCGAGGCTATTGTGGGGTCTTCAACGGCTCTTGAAGCATTCCCCCACACCCTCTACTCCTACTCCGAACCGGAATCCTCGGTTGAATCCCCAAATGCCAAATTCTGAGCTGGTATAAAACTGCAGAGTTTAGGGACTAGAGTTGAGCGTTTCAGGGTCGGGGCGTTTCAGGGTTTAGCCGTTGAGGCCTTAGAGCGACCCATAATCCTGTCTCGCAAGCTCAGCTCAGCTCACTCAGTGGCTCAGCTGATTCAGCAACCTCTGCCTAGATCTAAGCGCGCTTCTTTGTTGTCTACACAGTTGTCTTGCAATTGTGAATATTAACGGACCCTGGCAGGCCGCACAATCTGCGCCCCAATCTTTATCGATGATGCCCCTGCCACCACGGCTGCCAGCATATGGGGCGAGCGCTGCGAGCAGGGCACAATAAAGCTTCTGGATCACGTGAACTCCAGCCCTCCCACGGATGTGTTCTATGCTGTTATGCTCTGTTGGATGCTGGCATGACAGTTGGCTGCTACTGACTGTATGATTTGCTCAACCTTTGCCCGAAAACCTAAACCCTGTGTGCCCAAATCCTAAACCTAAACCCTTGCCAATCGCTGCAAAACCTCAATTCCCCTAGCCCTAAACTCTAGCAGCATCCGAAACTCCAACATCCTAAACCCCTGAGCCCCAAGCCCGAAACCCAAACCATCGACCCCACGATCTTCATCGCCTTCTTTCAATCTGTTAAACAGCTACATGCGTTTCGAGGTCTTAAGCAAAGCCAACACTAAGCCAGAGGATGAAGAGAGAGAGAGAGAGAGAGAGACAGATAGGTATATAAATATGTATATATATATATATATATATATATATATGTATATATATATGTATATGTATATATATATGTATACACTTAGGTTTATATCTATAAGTATATATATATATATATATATATATATGTATGTATGTATGTATGTATGTATGTATTTATGTGCACTTGTGACCAAGTAAGTAAGTCTGTAATAGTATGTATTGGAAAGCCCTGGGAATGCTTAAGACTGCCGCACAATCCGGTGCAAGGCACATTTCCGGAACGCGATCACCACAAGCCCCCCTGATGTAGTCCAATCTGCTGTAATCTGTCACAGGATGGTTTCTCACTGTTCTCACTCCGTCCCAATGCCGAACATGACACAAATTTGACGACTTACTTGAACGTGTTTGGAGTTGTTTCGGGGAGACACGAGGGGTTGTTTGACGTATCGGAACATCCTTTTTTTCGACTTCCATGGCCCATCATTCACAGCTCGCCGCTTTCAGCGTCGGCTTCGGATACACAATCCTGGGAGCCCTCCTCCATATCATCAGGCACTTCCTTGTCTGCAAGAGCACTTGAGGCGGATCGAAAGTGCAGCCGGGGATATGTGTACTCGTCGCGCACTCCAGTTGTCATCAGTACCTTGAAGCTTCGGATTGCTAACGAGCCGGATGTATGTAATGATTAGCTGCAACAGTTCAAGAGTGAAGAACCTATCACTGGGCTTGCTTGGGTCCTAGTGTGTGTAAACCTGCGGACTGTATATCAACAGAGTTGCCGCCAGCAGCACAGCACCAACGACCGGAACCGACATAGCATTTCCGCACATTCGAGAGTAGGTGGATCGGCGGAAATCACACCCCATCACCAGCTTCGATACATCGAAACCATGCCTCAGAGAACAGTAATATGATATGAAAATATGGATATGGATATGAACATGTAACATGAACAATGAATCATCATGGCGACCATTGAATGCCGTAACTTGTACTGTATGTCAGCAGTGTCTCAGGGCCGGTCGCAGCCATGAGGTGTGGAGGTTGCAGGAGCTGGTGTCGTCCAAAATCATAAATCTTGGAATTGGTCGTCAACCTCAGCTGTGCTGAATCAGTGAGAAATAGTAAGAGAATTGAAATGAGAAATGAGAATCAACTAACCAACAATCTCAAACTGTAGACGCGACTAGGCTGCGTTGGCATAGTGCCACGGAGCCTCCAAGACTCTCGTCCCAAGGATTTCGAAACATCGACACACACGTCGCTTATGTTCTGTTCCGCCTCAGAAGAACGGCCACGGTGGCCAAGGTGTCAAGGCTAAGGTGATTTGATTATCATTTCATCAGGAATCAGGACGGAATCGGAAGCTCACGACAACCAATGCCAATACCGCCGATGCCAATACAGTATTTAGCAGTATTAAGTATTAAGGCCCACACGGCATTCAATGTGTGGTACAACACGTCCAGCTGTTCAACTTCTCGCGCATTCATTCCGCAACACCACTGCTTTCCGAAAGTGCTGCGGCACCAGGTAGAGTACCTAAGATTTCGAGCACCGCAGGGCGGAATGTTGGAGGCCAACCAGCCCACGTCTGTTTGCACCCAAGTCTCTTTCGATACATCGCCATGTCGTCCAAACCCAACTGCCTCCGGCGAGTGTCAAAATCCTGCCGTATTTTGCCTTCCCCAGAGAACCTCGGCGACACTGGACTGAATATCGACTTTATTACTGTTTTAGTCTGTTTCAGGATTCAGGACAGGACGACCGACGATACCATGCTGCTGTATTTTTCTCGTCAAGCGCTTCATGCTCTTGCAAGGTGCGACTGCTACCGTTCAGATCGGTGATCGGTGGCACAACCTGGTTTTAGGCTCAGCTGCTGTACAAGCAAGCCACAACCCGGTGATTCAAGGCTGGCAAAATGCCCAGTTCGATGTGCTGCCACACCCTGGCCCACATGCCGTCTCATGGGCCACTACCACGAAACTGTAGCTGCTGCCTAGGTCAGCCTAGTCAGACTCGAAAGCCATGTGCATGCCAGAAATTGTATTCACACTGACAGCGCAACTTCCAACAGTCCTACAGTCCTACAGCACTGCACTGAATCTACGACATGTGGGCTAGGCTCTGCTGTGCAAACTTCGGCGAGCCTGTGCAACCCGAGCCGACCCGCACAAGCAAAAGCAACGTACTGACTCTCCGGAACACAAACTTCCTGAACTTGGCAGTGGCATACCACATACATCGCCGCCAAGTCCTGGAACTCGGACGACCCCGAGACAACTTTCGATTCATTCGGTAACTAGACGGATGAACACCATGGACCAGTCATGACTGAATCACGCTCTTGTTTCATGTCTGAATCATTCCAGCATTGATTTATTCCGGACAGCCTGACCGCCTCAGCTCATGCACACATCCAGCTCAGAGCGGAAACATACACTCAGGGCGCATTGCAAGCACGGATATCATTGCCGTGATTTTCACGACGACTGCTTGCCAGTCTTTCGAGCGCGCTTCGGTGTGCCAGTCGGGGGTGGCATGGTACCCTTGTTCTTGCTCTTGCCCTTGCCACCGGCCCCCTGGAACCAATCAACAGCAATGAGTCATGATTAGTAATTAGTAACCAATAGTAAATAATAAAATTAAATATTTCATAATGGGTTGAGTACTAATCATACTCACTAAGCAGAGTCATTAGTGAGTAGTAAGTACGTAGTAAGTACCGAGTAGTTAGTAGTGAGTGCTAAGTTAAATAAGTAATGGCAATGGCAATGGTAACAGTAGTGTTTAGTCTAGTAAGGGTTTGATTTAATGTAAAGACTTAGTAAAGACTAGTAAGTAGTAAGTAAGTAATAGTATTCGTGAAATATCAAAATATTCAGTTAATCCAAGGCCAAGGCCTTAACAAACTTAAACCGAAACCGCTTAAACCCTTAGCCCGTAGCCCTTAGCAGCAGTTATGCAGTTGCAGCTATGCAGCAAAGTTATCATATATGCAGATATGCAGCAGCAGTTTATATTATATGACCCAGTAGTTGAAAACAATCCCATAGGCCCACAGCACAGTCCTTCCCAGACTTAATGATCTTCTCCAAGCGAAACTGAATCTTGCCAGCGACGTCCTTCTTCGAAAGCATCAGCTGGCCGGCCATGAATTTCCCGATGCCGTTTGCATCCTTCTGCACCTGCTCCATATTCTCCTGGGCGACCGCTGCGTCCTCCGCTGGTGTGCCCGATGCCCTCAAAACAATCTCCATCGCCATGGTGTTGTAGATCCCACACAAGGCCTGCACTGATGTGGGGGCCATTGACAGCTGCTCCGACAAGTGCTTGATGCCGGTCGCCACGCACTCCGGAAAGTCTTTTGCCCAAGTCTGGAATGCCTCAGCAACATCTTCCAACTTCTTGAGGTCCAGTGCACCTGTATATAGGGGCCGAGGTTGGTGGTTGTGAAGGGGGTGGTGTTACAGGGGTTGGTTGGGTGTTTTATTTTAGTCAGTCAGCCTCCAGCCAGTCTATGACAGTTCACGCTCGGCTTGCTACGTAATTAACTTACTTCTTATGGCTGGCTGTGCTACTGTGTTTATCACAACATGTCTGAATCCTGAAATTCCTGGCCTTTTGTGGCATCCTGCATGGGGCTGCCGCTCTGGTTGTACTTGTCCACAACAGCGCGCAGCGTCTCGGGGAAGTCGCTGCTGTCATCATCCATGCCGTCCACATCGCTCATCACCTTGCACGTGTCGTCATAGACTGTTCGGATGCTATCCTTCATGTTGCGCATGTCGTGCACCAATCCCTCCACCGTTCCGGTTGCACGAGCCGTCAAGGCCACCAAGGCATCTTTCACGCCGGGCAGCTCATTCTCTCCGGGGTTCTCAGATTCCAGAACCCCCAAGTCCGAAATAGCCGTTGCAGACTCCCTCACTGCAGCCTTCGAGCGCCACGCCGTGTCTGAGAAGGGCACACTCTTCTTCTTGCCGAGGAAGTCATCCACAAGCACAAAGCCACGCACCAACTTCTCCACCTGGAACCCAAGCTGGGCCCGAACCGACGCCTCCCATTCCAGGACCTCACCATGCTTCTGGGCCCGCACCAAGGCCTTGAACCAAGTAGCAGGTCGATCTGCAAATGAAGCGACCGTGTTAAACATCTTCATCGCAAGGTTCTGCAGGCATGCTGGCACATCGACCTTCTCCTGCTCCACGTCGCTCGCAGCATCCGGCGTGTCCTGCTGCTGCTGCTTCGACCCATGACCTTACCGCGCCAAAACACGAACAACGCATCAACTGAAGTGCGGGGTGTGGTGTCTGCGGAAATAAAGCGCTACCACGAAAACTTCGTCAAGTATCGAACAGTTACGGTAACAATAGGTAGATGAGTACAGCACAGTATAGTCACTATGTCGGGCCAGGGCCTAGACTCACTGGCATATTGCGGCACATTGACTGCATATATACTAGGACTAGGATGGATTGCCACAGTTGGGCCGGGCCATAAAGGCCATAATTATAATTGAATGCCGAAAGGCCCTGTATGGCAGCGCAAACTACCTGATGGGACTTGCTCAGCTGGATCTTGTGCACACTGGTCGCAGCAGCCTTAAAGGAGCCTGCATCCAACGAATGCTCGACTGCGGCGGCATTCGTCAGGAGCTGCGTCACTTCGCTGGTGGCCGAGGCGTAGCATTTGGCCAAATTCTCGTTGACGTCCATCCAAGCCTGCTCATATGTAAAACAGAGATCAGATTAACAATTACCATTAGCACTTATTAAACCGGTAACCCGGTAACCCTAAGCCTAAGTCTAAACCCAAACCCTGAACCGATAATAAAATACTAGAATACATTAGGAATACAAATATACTATAATATAATATAATAATATACTATAATATAATATAATATAATATAATATATTATTATTATTGTTATATTATATTATATTATATATATAATATAGTATAGTATAATCTAGTCGATAATCTAGTTCATAACCATAACATATATATATATATATATATATATATATATTATATTAGTAGTATATTAATTTTGTTTAGGGTTTAGGGTTAAGGTTTACGGTTCAGTACTTTGCTGCGCTACTCTCTTGCTCGCCCGAGCTGCTACACAACAGTCCCCTTCAACAACCGGCCTTGGCATCGGTGGCGTACGATCGCATGAGTTTCCACAGGCCAAGGAAAACCGGTCGACCGTCCATCACGTTCTGGCGAGCCTGTGCTGCCGCAGCAGCAGCTGGGGCCGAGGAAACCACGAGCTCGGCATAGAGTTCCACGGCATCGTTCCCGAATTTGATCACGAGGCCAGCAACCACACCGTCAGCATGACGCAGGTCTGCTGGCACCTCTGCCTCAGCCACCATCTCTTCCGCACTCTCCAAACACGTTCTCACAGCTAGCAGCTGGTCCACCAATGCTGCGTCGCTAGCCCACTCCAAGAAAGCTGCGATGTCAATGATAGCGTCCTTGGCCTTTGCAGCGGTCTGTGTCGCCGCAGTGCACCGCTGCAGAATGCTCTCCATGGACAAGCATTTCTTGGATGCACCGGCCACAGCGGACCAAAGCTTCCTGACTCTGACACAAAATAACTGCATGCTGCATACCCAACCTATTAATAGCCTACATCCGGGGATATTATCCAGTTATCCTGAATTATTATAAGATAAGTCCTTATGTATTTATCATTCGAGACTGGACCGCGACTTGATTCATGATTTGATTGACTCGACAACTAGGACTAGACTGACTAGACTAGACTGGACTAGACTAGACTGACTAGACTGGGCTAGACTGACTGTGACTGACTGGACTGGACTAAACTAGACTGCTGGCTGCTGCACACTGCTAGACTGCGACTAGACTGGATTAGGCTGCCTGGCTGCCTGACTGACTCGACTAGACTGACTGGACTGGACTAGGCTAGGCTCGAACAGACGAGCGGCTTTGCCAGCCCAACTCTCAAGTAGCCTCGCATCTTCTCGCCCAGCTTGTCCTTGTGCTTAACACACGCCTTCGCCCGCAAGTTGTCTCGCTGGGTTCCACCGGATCCATCCTGCAATCTGCTGATATTCTAACTTCTAACTTCTAAATCTCTTTAGAAATCTAGACAGTCTGGAGTCTGGAACTCTAGAACTAGAACTCTACCTACAACAAGTCTAAATTGATTAATGGAAATCTAAAATCTAAAAATCACAAGCTAGATCGCAGTGCTGTCCTCTGCGAAGGGGAGCGTCATGCATCGCACAATCTCGATCTCGAACATGACCATCGCACAGTACTTGTCCTCGCTCCGCATGGGCACACTGTCCGGCTCGTACTCCTCGGGAAACTTGTGGAGCTCCAGTGCACACACTGGCAGCCTGAGTTTGGATACCATTTTTGATCTTTGTTTAGGCAAGGCAAGAATACGTAATGGTTCGGAATGTTGGTGGGACAGCAAACGCCCTAGCTATGCTATGGGCTATGGGCTATGCCTAGGCTATGCCGCTATGCCCCTTTGATAAGGATACAACTAATGATACAACGAGCTGCGTCTCCATCTGCTTCCTCACGCACCCAACATCCTTGATGCGGAAGAGCCGGTCCCAGAACATGTTCACGAGCTGCTGCTGCAGGCTCCCAACAGCACGGGCCGTTGCCTGTCCAGTGCTCTTTTTCCCGAAGCAATCCGCATAGATGCTTACGTTGATCGTCGCGTTCTCGTTCTTGTCGCACGCCAGCAACACGAAAAACTGGTAGCTGGAGCCCTCATCCTGGAGTCATCTGAATCTGAAGTCTGATCATCTGTCCAAAATGAATTGAATTATCAATTTGTCAATGGACCAATGGATAAGTTAATCCGAGTAAGAGTCGAGTCAGAATCAGAGTCTCTCATCTGTCAGGCTGACGGCTGACCCGAAGTGCCTTCCGAAGTGCCCTGTGACCCTATGGCCCATGGCCCCTGGCAGCCTATGGCAATACCAAAGTTAATGTAGTGAGTCGAATCAAGGTGGTTCACACCGAAACAGCACGCACGCTCCTTCTCCACCGCTTTGAGGATCTCCCTGGCAGTGCTCACCAAAACGTCAGCCACTAGCGAGTTCGCGAGGCTGACCAAGACGCTGCGCTCCTTCGCGGCTTGGGGTTGTCGCTCTTCGGGAGGCCACTAAATTACGATAACAATGATTCACTCATCATGTGACGCACATGGTTTCATATCCTATTGACAGACTGATGATGTGATGATTCAGTGGCAGCCTACTAACTACTAATTACGACTAACGACTTACTAATAACTGTTAAAGTTACATTTTAAGTTAAATTAACTAATTCAATAAATTGATAAATTCCACTACGGACACTGACTGCAGACTAGACCCACACAATCAAACTGCAGATGCGGAGAAAACAGCCTTCAGCCTTCATGACTTCATGGACATGGATCCTAGATCGCTGATTGATATGTTTCTCACCAGGAAGCCACACAAGATAAGGACTGCTGTACAGGTATGCCCAGAAGGACAAGCGAACGATGCATCCGAGGTATCGCCAAGCCATCAACCAATCTTTCACCGGCTGTGCTTCGCCCTCGCATCGGCATTTAGACTCATCAAGAGCCGGAGGCAGTGGTTGTAACACAAGGAGACACGCAGTGACTGACTCAAGTAAACACAGAAAGTCACAGAACTTGACCGATGCCACTGCAGCACTCATCGATCTGGCAAGCAGCATAACACCCCATTCCACATACGCGCCCTGGCTGAAATGCCAAGCAGCACGTCAACATGCGCTGGCTGCAAAGCCACACCGCATGTCTAGTCTATGCCGCGTTGCTCGCCCGCAATTTAGCTCGATCCTCTGACACAGTATTAACTTAACATTAACTTGTTTTAATTCAAGAAATTAGAGTCATAGTCTCAGGTATAGTATAGTTATAGTATCGAACTGTACGATACATGGACCAGTAACTACCAGTATAAGTAGTTTAAATACAAGTACAAGTATAAAGTATAAATAAATGTATACATAGTCACATAGTATAAATACTCTTAAATAAATAACTTACTAACTAATATAAGTTTAATATATAATATAAGAATATAAGCTAGGAGTCAGGAGTATCAGTATAGACAGGAAAGTAACGGAAAGTAGGTTACCGTTATTTAACAGGAACAGAGCCCTACCTACTTCTTGCGAGCGATGCCAAAACCGACTGGCCAAAAGCAGGCATCCGTTGGTATCTGAGCCATCACATCTGTACAAAACTCACACAACCCTTGCTCACTCGTCTTTGTCACTGATATCACTGCTATCATCACCGCTACCGACGTCGATGACTAAGTCGACTTCCACCTTGAAGGAACGGGACCATCGCAATCGCCGACGCGTGCCATCTGCAACATTGTCATGCTTCCGGGCTTTCTTCTTCGCTTTCTTCTTGTCCTTCTTCTTTAGCTTCTTGTCTTTTTTTCGCTTCTTCTGGTGCTTATCTGGCTTGTCATCAGTGCCCGGCGGAGACTCGCCATCGCTGTCGGACTCATCTGAGCTGCTGAAGCGATGCTGGCGATGCTCATCATCTGACCTGTTGCCAGCCGTGGCCGCAGTCGGAGCTGCGAAGATGAACACCGAGCGTGCATTGTGGATGAACACCACCCCAGCCGCAGCCATGGCCACGATGCTGCCTAAGAAAGTTTCCGATCCATAGCTGCGTTCATCCGACAAGGCAGCGACGGATGCAAGGATACACGAGAACTCTCCCGTAGCTACTCATGCATGCAGCAGCAGAATCATGATCCTTGTGATTCTTGTGTAATGGAGCAATTCACTGCAGCAGTGCAACACAACAACGAATTGCCGGTCCTCCTCGGTCAAGGACATGTCACAGTCCGGCCACGAGGCCAAACTTGCTCGGATCCGCGAGAAGAGTTCATACTTCTTCCTGGCGATCTCGGCAAAGCTTACCATCTCACTGATAAGCTGCTTGATCGATTCATCATCCTCCCCATACGGCATGAGGTTGGACGCGGTATCCTCCAAAGCTTGCGCCCCTTGCTGAACAAGTCTCGACTTAATCTTCGGTGACCACAAATTGGCATCCGCAAGCTGCGCCTGCTTGGTTTCAAACAACTGCTCGGCTTTGCTCACAAGCTTGCTCGTCTTGGAAGTAGCCTTGTTCACAGCAGGCTTCGGCCCTTTGCCTTTGCTGTTGCCCCTACCACCGCCCTTGGTGGGGCGGCCAGGCTTGCGAGGCAAGTCATCCTCAGGGAAAGGATCCTCTTGATCGGTTGGATCAGCTTGAGTCAACCCCTCCAGCGAAGCAAGATCCTCAGCTGCACGACGGCGATCCTCCAGGGCAGGCCCTGCTGCCATCCGCGACCTGGACCGATCTCGCGAGGACTCTCTGCCAGGCGACCTGCACCGATCTCGCGAAGACTCCCCGCCAGGCGATCTGCTGCGAGACCTCCCCCGAAACCCACGCGGCTGATAGGACTGGGATCTGCCTCTCGATTCGTCCTTGGACGACATAGATCTGGGGCGCCGGAAAGAGAAGAAGCCCATGTCCTCATCGTCACTCTCCGACATGTCGGGACAGGTTGATTCCGCGTCTCCCCCGGCCTTGCCTGCGTAGCGCATCCTGTTCTCCTCCATCTCCCCTTTTGTAGGCAGCCGCGATCTCACGTCTCGCAGGGCTTTGCTCTCGCCCTTGTAACTTGCCGTCGCTGAGCCTCTCGATTCAAACGTCATGACCTGACACGGGTGACTACCCACAAAGCGTAGCTACCTGTACAACAAAATCTAGTACAGCAATTTCAAACAGGGCTAGAAGGCTAGAACACTAACTAATAATAATTATATCCATAAAACTAATATAATACAACTTATAACATATAACTGGACCCAGACTACCGACTATATTGTCTCATCTATCTACTACTTGGAAGGGCAGGGGACATGGTAAGTAGGTTTATAAGTAGAGTTATAAGTACCCTAAATGGAGTTACAGTTATAACCCTACTTATAACCTACTTACTAAGTCCCCTGCCCTTCCAAGTACTTCTTATTTTCTATATTAACATTAGTTATAGTTATAGTTATAGTCTATAGTTAAATTTGCAATACGAAACCGAAACCTGAATAGGCTACGGCTAGGCTGTGCTGTATTCAGCACGAACAAGACTGTCGGCCTTCTCATGTCCGATGGACAGCTTGCTTCCCAGGCGGGCACGTTTCCTGCCGTCTTTCACAGCCACTAACAGCTCGCTGCCGTTCTCGAGAATGATGCCCCGCAACTCCTGCCAGCATGTATGCCCACACGCACGTCACAAGCACAAAGCAAAAAGTCACACATATCACATATCACATATCATACCATATGTCCCATGTCACATGTCATTGAGTCATGAAATGTCATCATGAAACATCTAACATGTCACATGTCATATCTGATTCAGTCTGATCACTGATGATTCGATGATTCACTGATTACTGATGATTCGATGATGATTCACTGATCCCCGTCCACACATACTGTCACATACATACCCAAACATCACTTCACAAACTTCACTTACTGTGCGACGCACATCACATCACAAATAGTAAGACAGGCAGCAGGCACAACACACACACACACACAAACTCTCACTCCCACCAAGTCACCAAGGTCACACCTCAATGAAGGCAACATCGATCAGAGAAGCCGACGACTAGGTTAGCCTACAAACACACACAGTCACAGACTCTCACCCTCACCAAGGTCACACCTCACACCTCAACGAAGGCAACATCGATCAGAGAAGCCGACGACTAGCCTAGCCTACCAGCCTATCAAGCATCGACTCGCACCATCAATCGGACTGCTGCTTGCCGCATGCCGCCCATCACTGCGATTCTTGCACAGGAACTTGCACGTACATCCGAGCTTTGTCGTCATGGTCCTCCTCAATGAATGCAATTTTCTGCCTCTCCGTCTGGAAGGTGTTGGGGTCGACCTTGTTAAGGGTCAAGTATTCATCCAAGCTGTAGCAGTCGGCCTCTTCGTAGAAATCGGCATAGTCCGAGTTCTTCTTGAAGACAGTAATGTCCAACTTCTCATGCACATGTCGCCCTGGCAAACTCGCTGAGGAACGCTTCTCCTTGAACTTCGCGTCAGCTGCCTGCGGCGAGAAAACAGCCACAGCAGCAGCATGTACTGTACTTAGTACTTCTAGTATTGCTTGAAGTACTGTGTAGTGTACTCGTACAACGAGATACCCTGACCTTGCTGGAACCCCGCAAGGAAAGCAGCGCCGCCAGGCCCAGGTCGAAGTTCTTGACCCGGACGACCTGGCAAAAATGTGTGTCATATGAGGTGCTAGCTTGACATATGATTTGTGAACCATGAATCATGATCATGTAGAGACTCATAGAGACTGATTAAAATGATTCATAATTCGTAATTCATGATTCATGATAATGATGATACAGTGATGCAGTCGATACAGTTGTTTACTATGGAATACTCAGAACAAAGCTAAGTACTAAGGAGGATAACTGGATAACTAGGATAACTTACTTCAACTTACTTCCAACTAGTAACTGCCGTGAAGTTGCAACTCACGGCTCGCACATGCCAGCTGTCAATATCCGAATCAACAACTGTCAACCCGCGCGCGCACACACACACACACGCACACACACTGACATGAAGAGGGACACAGAGTCACACATGTCAGGCGGCATGTCAGCTCACTTTCTTGCACAGACCACAAGAATCCGCGCCTGGCCTTGCATGGCCCGCACTCGTGTCCCTCGGGGATGTCTCGCCTGCCTGTCTCCTGGCACATTGTGGCTCGCGATGTGTTTGCTCGATTGTATCAATTGTATCATGATATGTTTAGTGACCAGCGATCAGTGACGAGGAGTGATGAGTCATGAGTCATGAGTCATGAGAGTGATCGGCGAACAATGATGACAATGATAATGGTTTTAACGATGTGAAATGGTCTGAGATCAGTGATCAGTGATAGTGACAATGATTAATAATTGGCAATAGTTGGTGATTAGTAGTGGTTCGTCGATAGTGGGGATACATGTGATAGTGACTCGGTGGTCGTGATCGCGAGTGATACAAGTGGTGACACTGACAGACAGTGACAGTAGTAGTGACTCAGTAGTCAGTAGACTCAGTAGTGACATGTACAGTAGTGTGACGATCATTCGGGCATATTATGAGAATGATGCCCATGTTGACTTCCCAGAGACTCCAATATCCCTTAATTAAGGAATATTCCTAATATTCCTTTAAATCATATTAGGGATCCTACTATAATTTAAGTATATTCCTTAATTAAGGGGTATTGGAGTCTCTGGGTTATGCATGGCCCAAGATGGCAACGATTGGCACAATTCGACACAATGGTTCAATGCTGAACGATGCATTGGCAATGGTTCAATGCTGAACGATTCGTGACTTGATCTGATCTAAAATCTAAATTAAAATCTACCTCAAGGCTTAAGTTTACTTAAGGGTTTCGGGACCAGCGGGCGGGAACTACTGACTTCAGTGAACCGAAGCGACTGAAGACCGTGACTGAAGTTTTACACTCGTGGAGTCTGGGCCGGGGCTGGGACCTTGATTCTGAGCAATTAGGAGGAGCGAGCTAGTATAGTCTACCAACTGCTGAACTTTCACAAAGGCCCCCAAACGCGAGCCTTGCAGATGGCTCGCTTCGCCCAGGCAAGAGTGATGTTGGCGTCGGAGTACAAATCCAAACAGCCGGGTGTTTGACCACAGCTCTTACAGACAAGTGTCCAAGGAGTTGAGGGTGCCGGGCGTGGGGGATTTTCCACCGCGGCCAGGGCCGTCTCGACGGCACCTGACGATTCTTTTCCACTCATATCTTCCTCCTGCATTATGCCCGGACACGGATCAAAGTCGAGTGGTCCCGAGCAAAAAAACAAACCACGCAAGTTTGCTGCGCTTCTCTGGCTCAAGCAGCTTGAGCCAGGCAGGTAAGCATCCCACGTACCCCCTTGCCAATATGGGACGCACAATCACACGAGCTTCACTCAATGACTGACAGTGATCACATCAGGACTGAGCAGGCTGTGTGCCACACACGGCACGGGACATGTTACATGCGACTCAGTTGTCTTGGCTGTATTGGGGTCATAGAGTCAAGTCGCATCATGACTAACATAATACAAGGTATGTACTTTCGATATCGGTATACGCTATAATACGATACAATACATCATTATATCATTAATTATATTAAACCAGGTAAACTAATAATTACATTTACAGATTACAGATTGGATTCATTCACGAAGGGCACTGAGGCACTAAGTGTTAGTTATCTAAGTTATCTACGTCTGTCTATACTTATGCAGCCTGCCTGCAATCATACTTTCTATGCAGCAATACTATAATGATAATAATAAACCGGATATACATAAAATTCATACAATATAAAAGAGTCAAACTAGCTCTGTGATTTAATTAATTTATGTTTATAGAAGTAAATGATAAGAGTATATATTAAAATTATATAATTATTTAGATGTTCAATTTATAAATATAAGTAGATGTGTGTCTATATATAGAGTAATTATAATACATCTGAGTCAAATGAATATATATATATATAATATAATATAATATAATATAATATAATATAATATAA